GTGTGTGTGTGTGTGTGTGTGTGTGTGTTTAAGTATTTATCGGCGCAGGGGATTACGCTGCCAATGGGTTTTTCTTCCTTCAGTCTGGAGAACATTAATGCTTCAGCTTCAGCAGAACTCCAGTGAACCCGAAGCGCTTCAGGATGAGAGCGGCTGATAAATGTCTTAAACAGGAATATGAGAACTAATGGTTGAACAAGTAGGAAAAGGCCGAGGGCAGCTGTAAGCATTTTATATTTTCCTTCATAACTCACAAACTACTGCAAATCTATCTGACATCTCTTGGTGTGAGAAACATAAAATATTAGAGAGAGATCGTAATGATGAGTTTATTAAGCCTGTTATAAATTATAATAATTCATTAGAGCACAACTCAATTACTTTAGAATTTAATTTAATTGTTTTATTAATATTACTGAATAGTTCACTTTTTGTTGTAAAAATTTTAGTTGCCAAAATACATTTTTTTCAATTATTTGAAATGATTTACAACATACTTTCTAAAATCTAAATGATCAGTTCTGAGTTATGTCTATAAAATAATAAAATTGGATGAATTTCAAATTATAATAGAAGTCCAGTTTAACGTAAAGAAATTGACATTTTGACAAATTGTTTCATGCCTTTATTTGATTATTGCTATTTTGATAGTATTTAGTAAATTTGTATTAAATCATAAATCCAGAAAAATTTAAACGGACAACATGAAAATTCTGAAAATAAATAAACAAACAAATAAATACATATTTTATTGGGCCCTATTATTGGAAAAATGTTAATAAATTAATAGTTGTATGAATTTTTACGTTTTATGAATTCAATTGATTACACATGCTTTTGATTATTAAAATGTAATTAAACTATTAAAATGGAATGGAAGAAAAGTTTAAACTAAAAACACAGAATTTGGGAAAAATAAAACAGATTTCAAAGGGCCCTAAACATGTGATTTTTGTAAACTTTTAATAAATCGTCATTATAAAGTGTATAAGTTTCATGATTACAAATTATTAGAAATGCTTTTTGACTACTATTTAATTTTATTTTTTAATATTAAATTTAATTTAATTTAATTTAACCATTAAAACAGAATCTAGAAACATTCTAGAAACGTTCAAATGTGGGGAATCCAGAAGAAAAAATAAAGGGAAGAAAAAAATTAATTTGGGGAAAATTTGGGAAAAAATCTAAAGGAATATGAAGGAGCTGCTGGAGGACTTGAGTCTTCATCCTGTATGTGTCTCAGAGCCGCGTTCCATTCAGAGCTTCGTTTAATAGTTTTATTCTGCTTCGTGTACTGCTCTCGGAGACGTGTACGAGACACAATATAACTACTGCACTGTAAAGTACACTTAAACATTATAAAAGGATGCTACATTTTTATTTGATTACATTTTAAAAGATTAATTAAATTGTTAATGTTTTACGCTTTTATTTGATAACCACCATTTTTGATAATAAATTTGTATTAAATATTATTTGTAATATTTCTGTTGTTTTGTTTGAAACAAATATTTAGTTTTCATAAATTCGGCCTTTTTTTGAGCAATCATTAGTAATATAATATCAAAGGACTTTAATTCAATGCCATTAATTCCAGTGAGGTTAATGCTGGTAATTCTCAGATTGTGCATTCTTATAAATTTCATACATTGATATATATATATATAAAAAAAGAAAAAACAGCAGTTGCTTATATTTATGAATTTATTTATTTTATTAATTGACATTTTATTTATTTATTAATATTTACTGTATATTTTGTGACACTTTATTTGATGTTTAATTTATGTTTAAAATAATAAGAAAAAAATGCCAATGAGCTAACAAATCTGCGAGCATGACAAAGGGATGATGACAAGAAATTAAAAACATATTTTACTATGTTCCTTCATGTTATGATGTCAATGAATTGTTCATTTTTATTTTATTTATTTATTTATTTATTTATTTATTTATTTATTTATTTATTTATTTAT